ATATATCCAATTATCCAACCAGAAATTAATAGTGCTTCCATCACCCACTTGCCAACGAGATCCCATTTTAATGAGATCTCTAGCAAGGATAATGCCTCTCTAGGCCCAAGAGATTCTGTTTTTTTAATTTTGGTTTTCACAAAGTTTCCCTTCTTAAATATTTACTCTTAATAACTTTCACCCATAAATTATTTTCCTCATTCAGTATCCTCCACCCTAACTTAGCCAAACTGACCTCATTGACCCAACAGAGTTCTTATTCCCATACATCTCCACCTTTTGTGAGTGCAGATTTTTTCCCAATTCATCAAGTAGAGAGCTTTCTTACCATTAGTATTGTCCCAGGAAAATCTCTTTGAATTTTATCCAACTCATTTATAGAATTTTTAGGGATTTTAAGGGAACTCATTATATATTGAGGCATCATGTTTTTTGTTGAATTGATGAGGGTTAATCTACCCACGGTTGATAGAGAATGTTTTTCCAATTTGCCAATTTATTCATCATTTTCTCTTTGATATGAGTAAATGTGTTCTTTGAAACTCTTCTTATGATAATGGGGGCCCCTAAATAAGAATTAGATTTAGCCTTCAAAGGGATTCCGAGCATTTTAGAGAGCATCTTCTAGAATCTATGAGAAGTATTCTTTGAGAAACAAATTGCAGATTTGTTAAAATCTGGACATTGGCTTGAGGCCTTTGCATAATTTGTAATGATTTCCTTAATTTTCATGCATGCAAGAATGGTGGTATTTGCAAAAATGAAGTGGCCATTTGCAAATTGCAAGATGGGAATCTTTGGACCCTCTTTCGAGATTCTGCAATCAAATTATTTTTCATTATCCATTGCTTCTTTTTCCAGCACATAGAACAAAGATGTAAGGAGATAGAGGGTTTCTTTGCCTAATACCTCTACTAGGTTTAAATTCATCTGATGGACTCCCATTAATTAAAATCTTATAGGAGACCATTTTTATACACTCCATAACCCATGCAATCCATTTTTCATGAAAGCCAAATTTTTTTAGAGCTTTCTCAATAAACTCTCATTCCAATTTGTCATAGGCCTTCTCCATATCAATTTTGCAGGCCATAATCCTTGAGCTTCCTTTCTTCTTTTTCATAGTATGTATCATCTCATGCACAATAAGGATATTATCATTTATTTGTCTGTTTGGCACAAAGTCACTCTGATAAGGGGATATAATTTTGTTGAGGAGATGTTTAATCTTATTGACAATGATTTTATAAATGACATTACAAAGATTGATAGACCCGTAATTGATGAAGGGAAATTTGGCCCGACCTCGCAATCACCCGACACGTGGCAAAAGCAAGCAACTCGGGGCAGCAGAGCGCCCAAAACGAGCACCGAAAGTAAC